GGGGGTAAAACCCGGACTGGATCCACCCCTGGAACGTACTGAGGGTAAAACCCGGACTGGTTTATTCCTGGGAATGGACTGGGGGGTAAAACCCGGCCTGGATCCCAAAGGGTGGGGGAGCCCGAGGCTCATTAGGCCAATTAACCAGGGGGCGGGGGGCATTCCCTGCTAATGAGTAATTAAAGGCAGCCAGTGCAGCAGGAGCCCTGTTAATAACTGTAATTAGCACTAATGCTACTTAGCATATGTTAATGAGCTGGGGTAATTAAGCAGCAGGCTGATGATGAGCTCATTAATTGAAGAGGGGGTAGAATTAATTACAGGGCTCGTTAAGGCACAGGGGACAGAGCCCTGCTGACGAGCTTGGCTTAATTAAGGGAGGGGCAGGTTAATTAACGGGGCTTGGGGTGTGTCTCGGGCAGGGGAGGTGGCGGCCCTAGTGCAAGGGCAGAGCACGAGGCTGCGTGTGCAAGGCCCGCCCCCCGCCGTGCAAGGGCCCCCGCGCATGCGCAGGACGCCGCCTGCGCACGAGGCGGCGCGTGCCCGGAGCCCGCCGCGAGGCCGCGGCGCTCCCGCAGGGCGCATGCGCGCCGGGACTCAGGCGCAGGTGGGTGGGGATGCTCTTTTCGTCCCGCCCCCTCGCCTTTCCCATTGGCGGGGGTTAAAGAAGGTGTGGGGCGGGGCTTGGGCCGTGAGGGCCGGAACCGGGGCTGGGGGCCCCGCCCACTTCCGGGCCTGTTCCCGGATGGGGCGGGGCGGCCGTGCGGTGAGGTCCGGGCCCGCCCCCCGGGGCTACCGGAAACCCTCCGGAAGTGATAGACACCCCCCCCCGGGCTACCGGGACCCCTAGTGGGGCTTCCGATCTCCCTCCCCGGTTGACAGCCTCTCCCCGGGGCTACCAAGGCCCTCCCCCGGGTGGCAGCCCCTTCACCGGGGCTACCGGGACCCCCTCCCGGGGACTACGGTCCCTGTCTCGCCTGGTCCCACCCCCCCGCCAATCTCTCTCCAAGCCCCTCCCACCGCGTGTCAATCTTTTGCCCCCGCCCACCTCGCCGCTTGACCACGCCCTATTCTCCTGGCCTCGCCTACACCCTCGCTTGTTCCCGCCCCTCCCGGCCAAGGCCCCGCCCCCTCCGCAGCCCCCGGGTTCTATTTTTATCCGGGTACAGCCAATGGGCGGCGGGCGGGGGCGGGCCGAGCGCCGGAGGGACGGCTTCCCCGACCAATGGAGGGGCGGTGCCGCAGCGGCGGCCGGGCCCAATGGCGGTGTCGGGGGCGGGCGGCAGGGCCGTGATGTCCAATGGGACGGCGGCGAGTGAACGGCGAGACCAATGGGTGGCGAGGG